TATGTCTTTTGCTGAATCTCGTTTAAACTGAAATTCATCTGACAGTGAAGCAGAGTGAACACTACAGGTGTTTACCAATGGGATGGGTCAAGGAAATACTGTACACACGGCATGCTAGTCTTTCAACAAAACACCTGACCTGACAGTGTTTCTCATGAAATCCTTGTGGATAACATGTAAAAAATGTGAAATGGATGTAAGCACAGTCAGGTAACTTCATCAATAATTGAAGAGTCATGTCCAGGAATGCTAATACCATGTCAAGCAGAGGGAAATTTTATAGTGGTGTGCCTCGGGGTTCTCCCTGGCCCTGTCCTTTTTGACATGTGTATCAAAGGTTTGGGTGAGCACACTGACGGCATTCCTATCAAATTCCACAAACAGCAAGATGACTGGAGCGCCAGAGAATATTCTGGGTAACCCAGACCCATTTCTACATATCTTCATAAAACAGAACACTAGAATAGAATTTTAAGAACTAACATAAAAATCTTGAATTGGATCCAAAAGTAATTATACAAATAACTGGGCAACACTGGGAATTTAGTTAAGTATAATTTCAAAATGGATCAGCAATGCTTTACAGCTGCTTAAATAATTAAATAAGTAGAACCACATTACATTACATAAATAGGACAGAGCGGTGATGCAGGAGGATGTCACGTTGAACAAATCATGGGGCAGGGCTTCTAGAGTAGAGGGCACAGAGCCAGAGGAACTAAGGTTTGCAAATATTTCTACCTTAATATCTAATGATGCAGCCCCGGCTTGCCAAATCATGTAAACAGAAAGACTAAACACTTGCAGTTGGAATAGTCACATCTCTCTTTTCCTACCTGCTACTTAGATACGGTATTTTCCCTTCCCATGGAGAAAGGCTTGCTTCTGTTTGGGAGACAAATTACAAAGTTATGTTACAAAATAAAATACTGAGTGGATAAGGAGGTGAGTGGGTAAGGAGGATGAGGGAGAAAAAGAAGAGAGGAAAATCTTTGGGTCCACCAAGGAGGGATTTTCAACTATTTAAGGACAAAGGGGCTCTACACTGCTTTTGAGATGTGAAAGAATGGGAGAAATAAATGGAGGAGAATTTAATTTTGTTATAGCAACCACTCAAGTATAACTTCAAAGTATGTATCGCCATAAGTACCTGAGTTTCTGTACAATTAACCCCTGGGTTTGTTTTATCAAAGACATTTTATATACTGCCTTTTCGGTCTGGTTCTGTGTGCAGCCGCCTCCTGAGCACCTAGGTAAATACAGGGTTATGGGAAAACCCTTCTTAACGAAGAAAGGATGCAGCTTCTAGTTACACTACGATTGGGTCTAGATTTAGAAAATGTTGATCTATTAGAATGTTACTGGGCAAGAATAGTAATAGAGATGTTGCCCAGTAGAATGACACAGTAAATTGAACTGTTTGAAGACAAATGACAAGTTGCCATTGTATGTATACTACATACTAGTTTACATAAAGCATAAGAGAAGTCCTAATACTATTTCTGCTAAAGAAACATACAAGCCAGACTGAGTCTCAACATTGGGAGGGGGGAAGTAAACATGTTTTCTCAACCCTAAGAAGCTATCTGTAATTGATACCCACTGGCAAAGGAAAAAAATAACTTCTCCAATGGAATCTCACTGGATATATTAACTGTATTCAGGGAAGGTCTCCTGTTCATCACAAACTAACTCAGTGGTATTTTTGTAGACTTCTTTTGTCTAATTTTGCTTTATTTGGGCATTTTAAAAAATTCTTCGTCTTACCAGTATTTTGCTTGTTTATTTTGATTTCTATTTTTGTGTTTTGTGGTGGGGGTAGTTGTATGATTCTTGTTTGTTTGTTTGTTTGTTTTTTGTGGTTTGTATGTGGGCTCTCTGTTTTAAAACAGAGATAGAGAAAGAATATAAAGTTGGGTGGGTAGGAAGGTGGTGAGGAGCTAGGGGAGGGGAAGGATCTGGGAGGAGTTAGGGGAAAGGGAAGCTTGATCAAAATATATTTCATGAAAACTTCTGCAAGTTGACCTGCTCAAATTCAATTCAATTTCAATAAAAATCCCAGAAGAGTCATTTCAGGCATCTGGATCATCTGATTCTAAGATTAACATGGAACAACACGGCCTATGACATACCAAGACAATTTGTAAAAGAGAAGTGTCGGCATCCATTCTAGCAGACATTAAGAAGCAGCCCAGGCATGAAGAAAGCCTATGACAGTGAAGACAGCATGCTGCTGGTGATGGGACAATAAGAAATGAAAATTAGACAGTAAAATCGTGTCGTGGTGCAGTGTAGAGCTGCTGGAGAACTCTAGAACTTCAGGATAGAGGAGTGAGTCTTATAAAGGCTCCCTGGACTTCCAGGGAAGGTGCAGACTACAAGCTGCCTCTGAGTTTCCCAGGCAAGAAGACTCCGTGTTAGGGAGAATAGACTGCATCCCGGAGAGAGAAAGGGCACGACCGTCAGTCCAGCCAAGTCACTCCCCAGCAGGAGAAAGGGAAGCAGACAACCTCAACTGAAAAGTAAGCCAGGTGTGTGAGACACTTGGCTCTTGCAGTTAAAGACTCAGATAAAGGCTGCCCCACCCTTGTCAACAGAACCTGTGGCCAGCATCTGCCGGTGTCCCCTTCAGGGCCACAGGGCCCAGGAGCTCCGAAGTGCAGTGCGTCCTCGCAGCAGGGTGATTAATACACCAGAGATCCTGAGAATACCATGTCAGGACTTTCGCCATCTGGTAAGGTGGGAGGTGCTGAGTTTCCTTTCAGCCCCTGTTTGAAAGACACTCCCGAGCTAGAGCAGTAGCCACCCCGGGAGTACAGTTTGGGAAGTCTCAGGAGCAAGGGGGAATCGTCCTCAGACAGCAAAGTGTAGCCAACAGAGAGAGGTCTCTGGTATGCAAAGACGTGAAGTTGAGCCACACAGGCTCAACACCAACATAAACCATAGGAAGACACCGCAGTCCCGCGTGCCCCTCCCTGTCCCCTGTGCGTGTGGCTGTCATTCCCTGGTTTCTGAGACCCCGGGAGGAAGCTGTGTGACATTTCATCTGTAATTTTTGTGATTCCTTTTTTTCTTATCATTACACTTTTTTTACTTCATTGTATTTTAAATTTTTTATTCCAATTCCTAAAGTTATCATATTTTGTTTATGCTGTAAAATTATTTTTCCTTTACATTTTTTTCTTCCCTGTTTTCCCTTTTTTTCTCTTTCTGCTACACTTTGAGTACTTTTTGCTCTTAAATTTGTTATGCTCTTTGAGAATCCATACATTTATGAATGAATTACAATCACCTGCATCCCCTAGTTCCCCCTCCAACTGTCCCCATATGCCCTCCAACATTTCCATTTCCCTTCTAACTTCATAGTCTCCTCCTAGTCTTATGATAACGCAGCGAGTGCTGCCCAGTTAAACATGGGTGTGGTAACCACTGGCTGAGAGTGGCCCGGATCCTAGGCCAGCTCCGGTCCCCACATTGGGGCCACAGCTTCTGCTGAAGCCCGTGGGAGCTGTGGGTCTCCCCACGCACCTCTGGCCCCTATTAGTAGGACTTTGACTTGATCTTAGTCTTTAAAAACAAGCAAAATAGCAATAACAACAAAACTCCCGCATTTTACCTTTTAAAAATTTCCTTTTCTTACATTTATCCAATTTTGCTTCTTCCTACACCTCACCTCCTCAACTACCCAGCCGAAAAAAAGACTGAGCTCCTGTCTCCTCCAGACTTATCACTTCCTCTCTCCACCCAGTCATATCACTTCCTGTCTGTCTGTACAGACCTCCAGACCTCTATGGTTAACCAGCGGTTAGCTCCGCCCTCTGATCTTCAGGCAAACTTTATTTGTTAGAGTACAAACAGGACATCAGATATCCAAAAATAACAGATGTACAAACTGCAGCACAGAAACACAAAAACCATGAACAAACAAGGGAGCATGCTTCCCTTAAAGGGTTTCTCAACTACTGAACCCAGAGGGTCTAAAATAGTCAAAATGTTGGATGCAGATACACAATGGAATATGTTCCAGCCACACAAAAAATATGAATTATTACATTTGCCAAAAAAATACATGGAACTAGATAGCGTTATGGTAAATTAAACCAGACTCAGAAAGACAAGAATCACATTTTTTCTCACACGTAGAATCTAAATATATTTAATTTATAAAATTAATTTTAATATAATATGTAAATACATGTGATTGCATGTGTGTGTGGGTGTTAAAAGTAGGAAAAAAGACCATAAGAGTCAGAGAAAGAGATATTGAGAGAGAGGAGAGTGGGGAGAGAGGTAGGTAATGACATACATTTGATATGAAGGCTACAGAAATGACTGAGAGGAGGAAAGGGATGAGTAAAAACAGGGATTTTAAGCAACTGTTTGGAAACTCACCACTAGCTAATGCTTTTGTGTTCTGTTAGGTCCTCCAGAGGCTCTGGTCGTCTCTGTGTATCAAAACCACACATGAGAATTTTGAAAGCCCCCTAGATGGTGACAAAAATGTTCATACCAATTGGTTAGGATGAATATTTGAATCATTTGGTAAGCAAAAATTGCTAACTGTACAGCTTAAAAGAATACATTTTGTGATAATTTAGTTATATTGCAATTAAAAATCGTGTTACCAGGTAACTCTAACGTGTAGCTCAGGCTGAACACTGTTAGGAAGTTAGGCAGTGTTTCCCAGCATGGGCTGGCTGTTCATTGGGAAACACAAAGCTTTGGAAAGCAGTGAACCCTGATCACACGCACCATGATGGCAATGGGTCAAAATGTGAATGTCAGGAATTTTCAACCCTTCTGCATTGATTATACTATGTGGCTAGGACTGAAATCCTGGGTCAAAACCGTGGTCCCCGATGTGTTCCTCAGATGAACAGCATCTAGGTCACCTAGGACACTGTTAGCGATGGCCTATACAGCATACCTTCAGAAACACCGCGTTGCCATGAGAGGGAATTGCATCATAAACCCGCCATTGTCCTTAAAGTTCTCTGGGCCCTAAGCATTAGTGGAGGACCTGGTCCAAGAATGGAAAGCATTTCCACATTTAGCACCACGTGGGACAAAGGTGACTAAAGGAGAGTGAAGTAGATGATCCATTGAACAGAAGGAAACCAGGTGAGACACTGAGTCACAGTCTTCTACAGACACTCGTCAGAACCGCAGCGCACACCCGCGTGCTGCTCCTTTAGGGCCTCCGTTGTCAAAGCTCAAATGTGCTCTGCGACTTCATTCCCAGAGCCTTAGTCCTTTGAGTCAGCATTTTCTCGGGTTTACCCAACAAATGATTCTTTCCCTGAATGTGACCACTGAGAGATTGTTATCAGGATGTTTGTGACATTTTGGAGAATATATTGCTTAGAACTTGCTCTCTGAAAGTTTAGGGTGAAAAACAAAATCAGACGTGCCACCATATTGATTTTCCTACCCACCAGCCTGTAGTAGATAAATGGTGACTAAGCATTAGTTATGAACTCAGTGGAATGTGTTTCCGCATCTGTGGGGACATGTCGTAGCAATGGGGCTTTAGAATGAGACCAGGAAGAAATGACTGTGCTATTTGTCCTGTGTTACAGACTTTGCTATAACAGTGTTGTTAGTAACTAATTCTACCACCTCTCGCAACACGAAATATTTCCAATCTATGTCTACAGATAAAAGACTTAGAAACTAGTTTCTTTGAGAGTGTTTTGTGACACTGAATATGTGCACGCACTCCTCGATGCTCACTAATATGAAGGTAACACAGCAGTGTTTTCCAGGACTGAACATTGGCTGAATTTACACTTCAATGGAGAGATGGACTACAAAGCCAAGGTTTATTTTCTTGAAATCATGAATTGAGTTTACTTTCCAAAGACTCACAGCACCAAAGAATCAGATTATAGTGTGTGCACCTTTATTTACCTCCTATTCTCTTCCAAGGGAGAGCACTTAAATCAATGTTTCCAGGAGTATATCTCAGCTCTTGAGTCCATCTCCTTTCTCAAAGGGCCTTGCTCTGGCTCCCTATCACCATGGTGACATTCAGACATCCCTCTAGAGACCTGAGCACACAAGCCAGAGTGTAGAGCTCATTACCCATACAGAACAAGAAGATAAGTAGTTGGAAATCATAAGAGAGAGGCAAAAAATAGTTATTAGGCCATTTACAGGAATTCTTTGGAGGACAGACAATTGAGTAAAACCAGAGAAGAGTGAGGTTAGAAATAATTGGAGGTAAGGTCAGAGAATTTGGTATGAAGGAAAGATTTATTGGTGGGGAAGTATGACTGAAGAGCTCAGATGGTCATTTCCATAAACATATGGGAGTTACTCTTTTAAAGACATGAAGACAAAAACAAATAAACAAACAAATCCCACTTCAGTCTGCTAGAATCTTTCTGCTTCAGAGACCCTGGAAGGTCCTTTCAAATATGTTGACCTGCTTGTCCCTCGGACTTGCTCAGTCTGGAAAATCCATCTTGACTCATTGTTCATCTGTCCAAGCATCAGTTTTAGAAATCACACAAAAGTGCCTGATCCATTATCTTCTACTCATAACATACCAATAATCTCCCAAAGCAGATAATTATGTCATTATTTGCAATGTGAAATCTGAATTGAACAGGTGCAGTTGGAAGAGGGGACAGACTCCCGTGACAACCACAGATATGCTCAGGGATCAACATTAAAGAGAAAAATATCTCCTTCTTCCTAAACACCACCACCTGCAGACAATCAGAAAGATGCACCTGATAGCAGATATTAGGCTGTTTCCCTTCTGGTGCCTGAATTATTTCTTCTGAGATGAAAAAAAAAAACACAACACTGAAAACTATTTTCTCAATATATGATTGATCTAAACACAATGTATCTTTTGTATTAGCACTAAAGTGAATTTCTGAAATTTATGCTAGCCTAAATAAAATAGATTAATAAAATAACTCTTGGTCTATTCTCTTTTTAGAACCTCAACAGAAATACCTAGAAGTTATATTTTAAGCTTAGTAACAAAATTGATTCTAAATATGAGAAATGATTATTAAAACCTATGAAATTTAAATTGTCAGTGTTATAATGAAGAGTAGTACATGCTATAAGTCTCAAATATAGGCTCTGTGTGTTCTTTCTGTGAAGGGAAGCATTGGACCCGGACTCAAAAAATATCCTAAGTGGTAGTGATGACTTAAAAAAGCAACTGAATAACACCACCTGGGGTGCCACGCTAGGATCACTGTAAATTCAACACCAACCTGGGCTTTAGAGTAAATTCCAGGAAAACCTGAGCTACACAGTCAGACCCTATCTTAAATAAACCAAAATTTCTCTTAATTTTCATGTACAGTTTAGTGGATTGGAGGAGAATTCTGGATATGGATTTGGTTTGCTGGACTGACTCTCAAATTTTAATATATGTTTTTAGTTTATATATTATATATTTATTGTATTATATATATATATATTTCCACTTTACACACAGATATACACACACAAACATGTTTTGGGGATAAAGAAAACTGCAGTGTCCATGAACCAATCATCCCTACACACATACAACTTGCCCTAATATTGAGATCCTGACCACAGAGACACATTTGCAACCGTCAAAAAACTTATGTTGACACACATTGACATTCAAACTCTATTAGCTACAATACAGCTCAATTTTGGTGGTATACCTAGTATGATTTTGGGTAAGTGTAGAATTATATTTACCACCAATATTCTATGAACAGAATAGCTTTGGTACCTGCTGCAGTTTGGGTATGGTTTACGTATTTCCTCAAAATGGTCCTGTGTGGGAAGGTTGGCCTCCAGGTAGGCAATATGGGAGGCAATGGAAGTCTTCTTTTATGGGGGTGGTGCAAAGGGTTAGGTCATCTGGGATAGCTGCCCTTGGAAGGAATTAATGTACTTCTCATGGGACCTTGGCTAGTTTTAAGAAGAAGGATCTTGTGAAATAATAGTATTGGCTGTGATACATCCTTCCTATAATATCTTCTGTGTGCTGACTTGGCCAAGAGGGGAGTTGCTAGAGGTTGAATCAAGAAGTCTATCTGGTTTCAGCTTTCATCCTCTAAAACTGGAGGCTGAATGAACCCTTTTCTTTATATCATATTCAGAGTGCAGTATTTTGTGATGGAATCTGAGAAGAGATTAATATTCTATCCTAAAACTCCTCTGTGCTTTATGGTTCATTCCCCCACACACATCCTACTGATCGATTCATGGCAACACTGATCTATGTCTGCTCTGCTTTGCCGTCCCACAACGCCATGCAATTGGAAGTGTGCTGTGTAGGCTTTCCTAAGAAACATGCATTCATATTTCCTCCATGTCTTTCGTGACTTCAGAGATCTTTTACTTTTTAGCATTTAACAATATCCCATAGTCTAGAGGCAACACAGTTGAACAATTTGTCTGCTAAAGAGCATTCTGTTTTTTTTCCAGAATTTGGCAATTGTGAATAAAGCTGCTATAAACACTCAAGTGCAGCTTTTGGTGTGGACATAAGTTTTCAATTAATGTGGGTAAACATGAAGGAGCACAATTGTTGAATCATATGGCAAGGGTGGTTTCGAGTTTATAGAAACTGCCAAATTGTTCAAAATAGCTCTTCTATTTTGCATTCCCATCAGTAGTAAATAAGTAATCTCTCTCTCTCTCTCTCTCTCTCTCTCTCTCTCAAAGCATTGTTTACTGTGTGTGTGTGTGTGTGTGTTGTGTGTGTGTGTACAAATATACATGCCAGTGATTGCGGGTGTTGGACCCCTGTAGCGGGAGTTACAAGTGTTTGCCAGCCATTTATGTCAGTGTAAGGGATTAAGACTGGGTCCTCTGAAAGAACAGCCAGAGCTCTTACTGGCTAAGCCATCTCTACAGCCCCCTAGATAAGATTTCTTGTTGCCTCACATGCTCGCCAGCATTTAGTGTTGTCAAAGTTCTGAATTACGGCCATAGGTATACAGTGGTATCTCTGTCATACTTCACAATTCCCTAGAGACATGTGATGTTGAGCATTTTCACTTGCTTGCTGGCCATCTGTAAATCTGCTTTGGTGAAATATCTGTTTAGATCTTTTTCCTTTGAATAAATGGGTTATTCGTTTTATTATTGTTAAGGTGTTCCATTGATTTTTTTTGAGATGCTGAGGACTGAATCATGAAGTCAAGGTCTCCCACAGCGGGGCAAGTGCCATTCTTCTTCTACTGAAGCTATATTCCTAGTTCTTATTGCCAAGTTTGGGTCCTTTCTGTATTTTACACAACAGTCCTTTATCAAATGCATCATTTGCAAATATTTTCTCAGACTTGTCTTTTCATTATCTTGACATTCTCTTTCACAGAGTCTTTAATTTTAATGAAGCTAGACTCATCAATTATTTATTTCATGAATCACGCCATCAAAAAGTCGTCTCCATCCCCAAGGTCATCTGGGTTTTCTCTTAGGCTACCTTCTAGAAGTATAATAGCTCTGCATTTCACATTGGGACCTGTTATCCATCATGAGTTAATTGTGTGTGGGCAGACACTCTTAGGTTTGAGTCTATGTGATTTTATGTGTGGATTTCTAGCTGTTTTGGCTTCATTCAAAGACCATCTTTGTTATGTTATATTATGTTGCTTTTATTGCCGTTCAGCTGACTGTATTTATGTGTTTTGGGTTCTGCATTTTGTTTTACTGATCTAATTGTTTCCTTTCATTAATTCCACACTGATTTTTATTACTGTAGACCTACAATTAGGTATTGAACTAGAATAATGTCAGGTTTCTAACTCTGTTTTTTTTTTCTTCAGTATTAAGTTGCTAATTCTGGATCTATTGCCCTTCCATATAAACTTTAGAATTGGTTTACTGATCCACATAAAACAGCTTGCTGAAATTTGGTTGGAGTTACAATGAATTGGAATCAATCTATACATTAATTTACAGAAATTCAGTGTCTTGATGTACTATATTCCTATCCATGAACATTGACAATTCCCGCATTTACTTAGTTCTTTCATAATTTTTTTTGTTTTGTGATTATCTTCATGTAGCTCCTTTGTATGTGCTCCTATATTTATAGTTAAATATTTTATGATATATGGAAATGAATTTTTAAATTCAAATGCCACTTGATAATTACTAGTATA